ATCATGCGCAGACCCTATCTGCGCATCGCATCTTCTTCTTCTGAACTGCCGCCTGGAACTCGTATATTCTCCTCTATTGGCAAGACTGTTACTGTCACTATCATGCTAACACTACTCTAGCCCTCGTTGACGAACGTTGACCCCTGCCCACTGAGGAGCGTTCACCTTTGTTCCCTGACGAACGTTCGCTAATTGCCTATATTACTCTGACTATTCTCTATCTCCTTTTGGGTTCTGATACGCCAATTCTGACTCCTCGCCTATTTGGCTCGTACTTACCGAATCTCGCGGCTCTATCTATTCTGATTACGACAGTTACTTCTTAGGGAAGCATCACGAAGGGGTGAAAAACAACCGTGTAACTGAGAAACTGATACTTTCAGTCCGTCGGTGTACGAAAGTCAAAAACAGTTAATATTTCATGGTAAGGCAGAACTCACTTGGCTTTCTTTTCAAGACGGAGGGCAAGTTGGTCATGGGGCAGCATAAGCTCTGAGGAGGTAGGAGAGGGTAGGAGAACAACTCGAAAATGCGCTTCGAGCTCCCCCACCTTGGGGTCTGCATGGACGCCAAGAAGGTCGATGCGTCGCTGGGACGAAGTCGCCGCAAAATAGGATCTTACCGCAGCCAGGAAGATGTTAGCCCGTGGGCGACCCCTGGAAGTAGTTACCGAATAAAATAAATTGGCTCAGCATACAGAATACTCAAAAAACAGACCAACTGCGTCTATTAGCTAGTCACACTACTAATGCCCACAAATGGCGCACTTAGGAGATCTAGGTCGACAATTGGGACTGACCCCCACCGTTCCTCGGGCTTAACAGGCTACCTATTACAGTGTCAGGAGAGGCGTGCCTTCGATATGATAAAAGGCAGACAAGCCAGCTCAGTTTTTTGTTTAATCTATTAGAGAGTCAGGTTATACATTTAGACCAAGTTAGTGACATCGGATGCAGCATGGAAATTTAAGGGAATTGCCTGAATGTACATAGATTTGGGTGAATGAGATCACCGATAATGTCAAGGAACACGAAGATAGCCATTTCTGGCCTATTAGTCGACATCAACCAGCCTTACTCAACACAAGGTTTGGGGAAAGCCGAGGTCCTAATCTCAGTTCTCTTGTTTAGTGAATATTAGTACGTCCAGCGCCTTAACTATTAGGTCACGAGATCTTTTTACTGTCACCGAACATCCCCCTATAACTAATAAGCCAGAAACCGTCATCCCATGCCTTTATCAGTAATCTTCTTCTGTATATCTTACTTATCCCCGTGGGACTACCTGCGAGGCTCTAGTTCGAGTCACAAAGCACAAGGGAACGGGCCTGTCCCGCAAAACGATCGCTGAACGCACTCCAACTACAGTTGAGCGAACGTGAAGCATTGGCTAAGAAAGATTAACGAGTGATCGGTCTCCAAGACTTAAATAACCAGGAACGCAAGTTTCAAATAACGCATGAGATATTTGCTTTCAGATGGGAGTGAATGGAGCAGGCACACTTGCTCTCCAGTGTTGGCTTCATCCGAAAAGTTGTTCCACGCGGGGGCAATAGCCCTCGGCGAGTAATTGACCAAACACAACACCTAGGTTAGTAGCACCAAACAAAACATTCTAGAACTGAGTAGACAAACTTAATTACCTAAAGCGAGTGACAGAGCCGTTGGAACGTTCCACTTCTAGGACCGTGTCCGGATCAAATATTTCACTGGTCGAGTCAAAAAGGCCCCTGTTGAAGAGGTACGGCAGTTGGGTCTCCACCCAATGGTGGAGAGCGAAAAGTTTATCCAAACGCTTTGAGTCCTCCTGACCAGACTTGGAAGCATTAGGGGATCCATTGTCGGCAAAAAAGACTGCTAATTGTCCGCACGTAGGAAAGTGGTGATGCTGCTGAAGTAAGAGAGTTACAGTCGTTGACTGGGCAAACGGCAGGAGCGCATCATGGCCGCCGCCGTCACTGCTGTGGGAACAGTAGGCCCGGTAGGCAACGCCAGAACACAGAAAAGAAACAAAGAGCGAACGTCGGCGGATGGTGGTCAGCTGGCGCCGATCAAACGGGAGAGTGTTTCTGATTGCAGTAAGCATCAGAAAGTCAAAGCTTCTGTCGAGGGAAAATAATGTCGACAGTTTTAAGGAGTTAAGCTGCAGAGCCTATAAGAAATTGAAAATAGGGCAGGGAAGGTTTGCATTGGAAGCTTCTAACTATTACCTTCATCGCTTGTAGCCAGCCTTGGATAAGCCTACTCCAGAGTCTACGACATCAAACTGATGGGCCAATATCCCTCAACTATGCTTTAAGCAATGGTTTTCTAGGTGGCATTTCAATACCGAACACTGAAGACCATCCGTCCCAGTATATTTTGAGGTCTGAGTTTACCGCACATGCTTACTTCTTCAAGTTGGCTACATAGCGAAAGTGCTAATCCGGACAAGTAGTCAGACAGGCAGGAAAAAATGAAGCAATACCTTGGGCTCATTAGGATTCAGTCTCAGGCCGACGAGCAAGTGGTCGAGGGAAAATTGCGTTGGTTCAAATAAATTCCTAAGCAGGGCGAGGTCGTGGGTACTGTTGGGGTCCAAGACGAGGTCCTGCCCTATATGGATGTCTCTATAGTTATGAATTGCTGTAGACAGAACGCAAACCAATCCATCGCTAAGAAAACGCAATCTTGTCAGACTCCCACACGGAATGCGAACTGCCAGCTTTCTAAAACGTACGCTGAAAACGTTGCCGGCATGGTCCGAGGTTATACCTCGATTAAGTTTATTAGGTCCAGGAACGCACCACCGATCCTTATGGCTCCCTTGAAAAGATGCATGCCGAGTAAGGTGAGCACTGCAGCGAAATCGAGGAAGCAGACAATAGGCGCTTCTCGAAAACAATGACTTCAATTCAGGAGTCATCGCATAGT